GCGTTAACATAGGACATAGTGATAGGGCTTCGCTGCTGTATGGATTTGTGTGGTGTGACCGCAGCATGGAACATGGAATGTGTATTTTTGACGAATGTTACCTGAGGACATAGTGATAGGGGTCTCATTACTGCAGGGTATTGGTGTGGTGTTGGTTTGTTGAGTTTTCTACCTGCAGTTTGGAGCACTACTGCATAGTTTGGGTGTGGTGTGTGTTGTCGAGTTTTTTACTAGCAGCTTGGAGCACTACTGCATGGTTTGGTGTGGTGTGTTTTGTCGGGTTTTGACAACGTTTTTAGGCTAAGGGTTTCGAATTTGAACAGGAACAGGGTCAGCAGAGGCTATCGTTCATTGCCCTGTCTCTTATACACATCTAGATGTGTATAAGAGACAGATACTGTGTGTTTTGGTGTGGTGTGTTTTGTCGGGTTCTGACAACGTTTTTAGGCTAAGGGTCTCGAATTTGAACAGGAACAGGGTCAGCAGGTAGGCTACCGTTCATTGCCCCTGGGGCACTGCTCCGGACCGTTTTCCTGATAGCGGTCGCGAGACTGGGTCTATATCCACAATAGGCGGTAGTTTGTCGGTCTTTTCCGGGTCCTATGTCGTTGACACTCCGGCATTTTCGGAAATGTCCGGAAGTGAACGCGACCGCGGGGGAGTGTGGAACGAAGGACTAAGTGTGAGGGAGAAGCTGAGGTGGTGAAAGCCCCCTGAAGACGACCGCGTGGCGGCGGTCGAAACCGGCCAGGGTAGCCATACCCACCGGCATATGTGCTGTTTTTGTTGATTTGAATACATCGATACTTGGCAACTTCAGTGTTTGTCGTTGTATTGGTTTGTGACGTGTATGTTTTTCATCATCCGTCACTTCACTCCTTTTCATACTTCATACCTCTTCTTGGAACGGATCTGTTAAACTATTACAACGACAGCTGGACGAGAGGGGGGCTGGGTAACTTGCTCAGCAGCAGCGTGGTCACGCTACTCTATAAAAAAGGTGATAAGGAAGACATCAGAAATTATAGGTCGATCTCGCTGCTAACACATATAAGATTCTGGCGAAGGCCCTCTCCAACCGAATCACTAAAATCACAAATAAATGCTTCCACATTGATTAGACCGGTTTCATCCCAGGTCGGTACATTCTAGACAATGTACTAACACTAAACGAGGCGGTAAGGAAAACCAGAGAAAGAAGAATAAATACGGTCATACTTTTCTTTGATTTTGAAAAGGCATATGACCAAGTGAACTGGGATTTTATGGATGCAAGTATGGAAAAAATGGGAGTTGGAAAGAATTTCAGAAAATGGGTTCATATACTCTACAAAGATGCAGTGGGTTGTGTCCAAGTCAACGGCCTGTTATCGGACTGCTACCCGATATCCTGTTCGGTCCGACAAGGAGACCCATTGGCCCCATCGATCTTCCGGTTCGTAATGGAAGTCATCGCATCATTCCTACGCAAGGACCCATCGATTCACAGACTCCCCGTCATCAATACAGGCTCGGTTCACCGAATGGACTTCCTGACAGCTATCATGTTTGCAGATAACCTAACCGTACTGATCACAGCATCAGACTCATCGTTTAGGACATTGGCCAAAGCAATGGAAGCCTTCAGACTGGCTTCAGATATGAAGATCAACTGGGAAAGACAATAGGTTGGTGGTTATCCAACGAGGAACCCCTCCAACTACAAGGAGAGGAAGCAGCCATGGTCTGGGAAGCGCCAGACTCCCCCACCCGGTACCTTGGTATACTTATGACAAGGGAGGGCCTTGCACCCCAAATGGGCCAGAACATATTGACCAAACAAATCAACAAAATAGGAAGAGGGGGCAATGCCTTCACCTCCCTTATTGGTCGAGCCCTGGTTCTTAATACGTCGGTCTTCTCAATGATGTGGTACATAGCCTCCATCTGGACAGTACTGGATAGCTCTATTAAGGAGCTGAATTGAAGAGCCAGGTCCTACCTATGGTCAGGATAGCCTCCATCTGGACAGTACAGGATAGCTCTATTAAGGAGCTGAATTGAAGAGCCAGGTCCTACCTATGATCAGGAGATCCCAATAAAGAGAATGGCATACCTAAGATCGCATGGCACTACGTCACAAGAAGCCCGCAAAAGGGAGGCCTAGGGATTATAGACCCTGGAACAGAGACAAAAGCCCTATAGATCAAGTGGATTATCAAACTTCTTATGAACCCAAACAGCGCGTGTAACAAGTTAGCCCTAGACAGTATCAGATCCCTGGCTCCAGTGCCCTTGCCAGATGACATGTCAGGACTGTTCTGGGTTATAAATAAGGAATGGGCCATGACCACAGGACGAAGGAATCGAAAGAGTGATGATAGACCAGAGGGCTACATACCTCCTACTCCATACAGGTCAGCGCTGCTTTGAATTTGGAGAAAAATAATGCCTAACAAGTCTAATAGACCTAGGTCTAAGGATGAAGTATTAAGGCAGCCACTCTTTGCGAATCAATGGGTGACAAATGAGGGTGATAATCCCCTCTTCCTAGAACACAAATGGCTCTCCTAGATAAAAAACGGAATATGGAAAATCGCCCACCTATGGAACAAGGAAAGAAAGGAGTGGAAGACTGAACAGGAAGTCAGCTCTCAACTGAAAGGATGTCACAGACGAGGACCTAATCTCCAGTACATCATCAGCCTTATCCCACAAGAATGGAAAGAAATTTTGACCAAAGCCGCACCATGGGAACCTGGAGAATGGGGACTTAAGGTACAAGAAACGACTCCCTCCAGAGCCTTCCAGTTTTCCCACATGCAACAAGGCTTGCCCACCAAGGCCACCTTCCTCTCCTTTCCGATCTCCCCGACCACCTCCAGCATGCCAGCCATCCTCAACAGCGCAGTAGAATCGGAAGTCATGGACTTCTTCCTACTTAGGAAGATAAGAGTCCTGGGCTCTTGGCCAAAGTTATTCTTCAGACCTGATACGGCGATCCATAGCCCAAAGTTTGACCCAGCAGAATCGGCGTGGACGCCGGACAAGACAAAGAATATTAAATCCAAGATTCCAATTCACAAGTATACAGTTAAACTGGGGTACAGACTGTTACTCAAAACCAAAGACCCTGATCCCACCATTAAAAAAAGATGGCAGAATCTATTAGGCCAAGAGGCAGACAAGCTCACACAGGTCCAGTGGAAGAAGTACAAGTCTATCAGGGCAATTAAAATTAGAAGCCTTCAATGGCTAATCACCTGCGCGGCACTACCAGTAAACCAATGGCTACACACTAGGCGAAGGGGATCAGACCCCAACAGTTCTGATCGGTGCACGATATGCACGGAAGGCGAGGTAGAGGACATAGTTCACTGCTTACTGCACTGTTGGGAGGCGACAGATTACTGGGCAAGAGCCTCGGCCCTCTGGGACTCCATATTCCCGACCCCCTTCCCTAAACAACCCATCCAACTTCTCCTTTTGACTAACATCCTTGAGCAGCTCCGGAAGGCAGAGAGGATTTGGTTTGGACTCATCAGGAAGGTGACGCTATGGGTCATATGGAAGGAAAGATGCAGCAGAACGATTGAAAGATTGTCCAACCCACGAGAGAGGGTCTGGGCGGAGACGAAAACAATGATACAAGCTGAAATCCTCTGCAGATGGCGGAAGACCAAACAATCATGGACGGAGGACGAGGAACAACAAACGAAGGCGAGACTGAGATTCAGCAGGATCTGATTGATAAGCGGTAAAATAGCGGAGTTACGAGGAGACCGCATTTGCTGGAAAGACTGGCACAACTCAAACTCAGGAAGAGGCTACCAACAACAGATAACTGCGGACGGGCAAAACACCTCCTGATCAGACTTCCATGAGAGATGGACAAGACCAAATGACCGCAGCTACGGAGGGACAGCTCAGAGATGGATGGATGAGACCAAATGGCCGTAGCAACGGAGAAAAGCTTGTCTCAAAGGAATGATGGAGTAAGGTTACGATGTAAAAAAGATCGCATATCACCCAAGGGGAACAGACATGTAGCGGCAAATTCCAGCCTAGAAGGGTCGGCAATGGCTACAGGATGAGGGTGTAGGGTTTAGGGTTTTAGTGACGCTTAAAAAAGGGGACGCTTAAAAAGGGGGGGCAGGTAAAGTGGGACAGGGGATATCGGGACTCACGGGCAGGACGGATGAGTGGGATTTCACAGGCCAGCTTGAACAATGGGCGAGCTCTTTCTAGGTGACATAGAACTATTTGGCAAATCTGGCTTCCAGGTCTGAGAGGAAAGAGTGAGACATGGCAAACTGACAGCTAATCCTCCACCAAGGTGGAGCAATCAATGCTGTTCAGGGGTCCTTCGGCCAAACGGAAGGAAGTGTGAGTGATTCTTAATGTAATGTATGTTCTGAACAATGGGCGAGCTCTTTCTAGGTGACATAGAACTATTTGGCAGATCTGGCTTCCAGGTCTGAGAGGAAAGAGTGAGACATGCCAGGTCTGAGAGGAAAGGGTGAGACATGGCAAGCTGACAGTTAATCCTCCACCAAGGTGGAGCAATCAATGCTGTTCAGGGGTCCTTCGGCCAAACGGAAGGAAGCGTGAGTGATTCTTAATGTAATGTATGTTGTGACTTGCCGGTGGAATAGGAACCGGACTGACGCTCCCCAGAGTGGAAGGAGCCAGGACCATAAGGCCCTGTTAAAAAAAAAAAAAAAAAAAAAAAAAAAAAAAATCAGTCATCCACTACAAGACGACTGCAAAATTCAAACACAGCTACCACCTAGACTACGGGCTAAAAGGGTCAACCATCAAGGCAAACCAAGGAGGGAAGAAGCAAAAGGGAGAGAAACAAATTGACCCCCAATTATATAATCGGCAATAATCGGTGGTTTCAATATGCTGAGGTCTGAGTCTCAGCTAACCATTCATGGACTTCATCCAAAATGCACCAAAAGGCCCAAAACTGAATCAAATCCAGTGCGGTCACTCACCAGGACCTAGCAATGACTCACCTGTGCCGTTTTAATACGCTCTGTGATTCCGCGCAGACGCTGGCGATCAGACTCAACCTGCGCAACACGTTCCAAAATTCAAAATTCAAAATAACATATCCATCAACATCTTCAGCCAACACATGCTGCTCTAGTGATTATGACATGAACTAT